GGTTCATGGAAACATAACACTGATCTGTGGAAAATCGTTGAGAGACGGTCAAAGGGTTTAAGAAGAAGAAATAGGTACATAGAAATGAAAAAGTAGGAAAATGACCAAAACAAGATAATTTCTCAATTCAGAAAAAAAATAGCAAGTTGTTCAAGAAAGGAAATATTATCTTGGGCCAATGTTGAGCAGTATGTCTATACAAATAGAGGCACTTATCTTTCTCTATGAATTTCTATGTATTTCTGTAGAGATGAAATACACATAATCTTGATATAACCAAAGATTATGATGCAGTTATTTGGGAACTTGAGGTAAAGAAAAGGAAGTTAGTTAGGAGCTATAATTTGTCAGAGTTAAATCATCATCTTGCACAGTATTGGTTGAAACCGAATAGCTTATTTTTTAATTTGGTGAGTCAAGAAACAGTAGGATTAGCATATTATTTAGTGACATGGAAGTAAATACTGGAGGAAGTAGTGAAAAGGGTTGAAAATGCTTGCCTCTCAGGAGCCATACTTGGGGATGGACAGGGGAATCCTGTCTTTCCAAGTGATCTTTTTTAGACTGTTTGACTCATTAAACAGTGTGCTGGTGTTATTGCCTTTCATGTTGCATGAGCTTCCTACTTCCTTGGTGCCTTAAAATATGCTAAACTATGCATATAAAATATGCATAGAAAAATAAGCATTTTAAAAATCAGTAATTAGATGATTCTGTCTCATCAAGCATATTTTGCAGAATTATTTACCGGACTTAGTTGCCTAAGTAGAAATAGGACCCCATATGAAGGCACTTTGATTTTTATCTGGGTTCAATAGTATGATGCTAAAAACAGCATTAAAATAGGGTTCTAAGTCACTACACACATTCACACGCAAGGCCCGATGCTTCCTTTCTTTAGAGAGGAAGGTTTAAAGATCATTAATTACTAGTGTATTTGTTTTCTGACCTTCTGGTCATGATAATAGATTTATTGATACAGCTTTTTGTCATCATTTTGGCATTAGGAAATATCAAATGGGAATTTTTCAGATAACCAAAGGAATTAGAAGGAGAATTAGAGTTTTCTTGCCAAGATTGCATTCATAGCAAAGTTACTACACTATGACAATTATATGAAGCGCTGGAGATACCATATAGTCTGCCTAATCAAACAGGATGTTGCATCTAGGTTTGTATGCCAAAAGTCAGGCATTAAAAAGGTGGTCATGAAACTGGAATTAATGATTTATCCTAATGTTTCGTGTTGATTTAAAAGATGGCTAGAATGTCAATCTACAGATCTAAGACATCAAAGTTTAAATACAAAGGAAGCGTATCAAAAGGTGAACATTGCTCTATGATGACTATTCTAGACGCAGTGCCCAGTGCCTTTGTGTTAAGTATGTGGTGTTGGATCTATGAAGTTTCCTAATTTATCATTTTTTCATGTTTTTTCTTCTTCCTTTCTCCTTCCCACCCTCCTCACCCTCCCCACAGTATAATGATTACCATGAAATACTTTAAAGTGATTCATTGTGAAATAATCCTGTTTATTTTTAGTGATGAGCCTTGAATAAACTTTACTTCTTTAAGCATTGCATTTTTTGGTACTTTTTAGAGGTGTTTTTTTTCCCCTATGAAAAATGTATTGAAAAGGGCTATTTACGTTTAGGTACAAGGAGGCTAATAAGATTTAGACCAATATGTAGGGAGTGCGTGCCACCCAGAGTATGTTAATTTTCTGTCCCAGATATCTTTTCTTTTCTTTCCTCTCTTCTTCCCTCCCTCCCATCCTCCTGTCCTCCCTTGAGTTGGAATCTCTGACGCCCAGGCTGGAGGGCAGTGGCACGATCATGGGTCACTGCAGCCTCAAACTCCTGGACTTAAGTGATCCTCTTGCTTTAGCCTCCCGATTAGCTGGGTCTACAGGCATGTGCCACCAAGCCCGACTAATTTTTTTATAGAGATGAGGTATTGCTATATTGCCCCGGCTAGTCTCAAATTCCTGGGCTCAAGCCGTCTTCCTGCCTCTTGGCCTCCCAAAGTGCTGGGGCTACACACATGAGCCACTGCACCTGGCGGTCCTATATATATTTCCAGTTTCGCAGTGGGAAGAGGGATAAATGGAATTTCGAATCACATTTCAAATGAAAACTGAAATACACTTGTTCAAAAGCAGAGACGGTGGATATTGTAATCTTGAGTACGTATGTATGTGCCACTTAAAGGGAAGCTAGAACAGACGTGTGCATGTACATGTTGTCACACAAGTTTGTTTATCTTCATCTGTCTTTCCATGTGAGAGTAAGCAGTTGAAGAGGCTCTTAGCTGCAAAGTTTCTTATTTAACGTTCCCTCCCAGGTAAAATAATGAAACAGACAATTCTGTCACTATTTTGAAACTGTGCTAAAACTGTTTTTCCTTACATTTTGCTGACGTTTACTAAGAGAAGCAAATCGATAAGTGATGTAGCAGCTTTTCTATTTTAAGAAATCAAATGCTTAATTATGTTTAATGGTGTAAATCTTTGATATCCAGTGTCACACACAACTTTTCAGATTTATTATTTATTAAATCTTGAGCTTTTATTCTTGGAAATGATAAAATTTTTTGCTAATTTCAGTTGCTGATTTCTCTATATGTGAACAGTTGTAAAAGCTGTAATTTCTCAAATAATTATGAAGGTGTTTCTAGATTTTTCCTTTTCAGTTGTGAGGTAATTTAAGAACAGTAGATCTGATTCCTTGATTTCTATTACAGTATGTTTGTAAAAATTTTTAGGACCCATAGAATTTATTAAAGGATACGCATAAATACATTTTATATATGAAATGTCATTTAAATATGACTTCAAATATAAAATACTCAAAATATGATTTTTTCTCTCCTTAAAAAATAATTGTATATGTTGCACAATATTCTATTATGACATATGCTTGTTCTAGTAGTTCTTTCGGTACCATTTGTAGAACCCTTTTACATTGCACTTAGAGGACTCTAACATTATGGTTCAGACTCTCTACTTATTTGACCTAGTCAGGGTAATGAGCTCTCAATCTTAAATTTTTATTCATTTGTATTGAATTTTCTTACCCTCTCATTCTAGTGTCCTTTCAGAATTAAGGGTAACATCACACATAATTAACATAGCCTTTCCAGAGATGATAATTTCTTCCCTTTTTTTTTTTTGAGTTGGAATCTCACTGTCACCCAGACTGGAGTGCTGTGGCACGCTCACAACCACTGCGGTCTTGGCCTGTTGGGTCCCAGCGATCCTTCCGCCTCAGCCTTCCAAGTAGCTGGAACTATAGGCACACACCACCACGCCCAGCTAATTTTTTGATTTATTGTAGAGACGAAGTCTCGCCAAGTTGCTCGGGCTGTTCTCAAACCTGTGGGCTCAGGCAGTCCTCTCACCTCGGCCTCCCAAAGTGCTGGGATTATAGGTGTGAGCCACAGTGCCCAGCTGACCATGTCTTTAAAAAGTGAAATTATAGAAAAGTCCCAATTGTTAGAAGCTGCCAGAGAAACTTTCTTAACATTTTGTTAGCAAGAAAACTAAAACCTAAAAATTTACTCCTTGTCACCAAGGCTTACCAAATTTTGCTTGGGGAAATGAATATTTTATAGGTTGTAACCATTGAATTGGTAATTAAAATTGATAAAAATAAAATTATTCCACGGAACATAGAAATAGTTGAGATTTCTTTGCAAAATTACTTTATCATGGTGTTTGTAGATCATATGAAATATACAATTAAAAGTAGCTCTATTTATTTCATAAGTACAACATTATAAAATAATTATAATTTCATAAGGAACAAAAATCAGGCCTCTTGTAATAGTAAGGAGCTATGATTCTCCAGATAAAACTTTCATGTGTGTGAGATGTGCTTCTTAGCGTTTATGGAGTTAGAGTTCTGTCTGTGTTACTTTTCACGGATTTCTTTTAATTCTGCTGCTTACCTCACACGCGCCTGATTGACATTATGATGCATTCGTGTGGAAATTATGAAAAAGTTGTTTTCATGCAGCTGTCCTATTGTCACAAAAGAACTTCACTGCATGAAAAGCAAACATATCATTCAGCAGACAATGCTTAATCTGTTCAGGAGCCCAAACCTATTGCTGTGCAATGACAGAAGAAAGGAGAGGGATTAATTTGAAGATGCTTGTGCATGACATATGGTAATTTCTCCATAGGAAGGAAGTGTCAAATGGTGACCTCTAAATCTTAACATTGACCTCCAGTTGTAGAATGTGTGTGCCATACGGTCCTTTTGCTTTTTCATATGATAATTTAAGCTGAAACATTTTCTTGGCAGCATAACTTCTGGGGATGGGGCAGGGAGGGAATTGGTGCATCTATTCTGTAAGAAATATAAAATTCACAGTAATTACTTTTAGTATATAAAACTATCATAAAAATGTTCTTTAAACTCCAATAAATGAAATAAGAGTTAAGCAGTATATAGAGTCTTTATATCTTGGGATATTTCTAATCGAGTTTTTATAAAATGAATACGGAAAATTGAAATGATCTCGGTGAATACTGGTGTGCAGTATTATAATTTGCACCTAACAACAGAGAAGAAATTATTAGAAAAATGTAATTTACAAAATGAAGACTAACAAGCTTTTCCATTATGTGGTACATTTAGAAAATTGAATAACATTCTTGCTGATTCTTAATATGTTGTCATTCTGTCATTATGGCCTTCGTTGTTTTAGAGCTATGTTTGATATCAGTCAACACATCATTCAGCTGTACTATTCATATATTATGACATTAAGAGACAGTTACTTTGCATTGTGGTTGCTACTCAGTAAAATATATCATTTTCTTCCTGCAATCTTTAACGATCATGCCCTTCTGATTAAAGCATTATGTTTCAGTTCTACATTCGTTATGTGTTATGTTTTTCCAACTTTTTCGTTCATCACTAATACTGAGCTTTTTTCCAGAAACTGCTGCACCTCAACTCTCTCCTCTTTCTCTCTCTGTTTTCCTCTGCAAGTCGCTGCACCTGTTGTTTCCGCTCGGTCTGATGCTGATCGCTCTGGCTCTGACCCTGCTTCTGTTCCTGCTTTACATACCTGTTTCTTAGTCAATGAAGGTATTCTCTCTCAACTTCCTAACAACTTTCAATCTGTGCTTTATTCTAACAGACTTGTTCTTCTTTTTTTTTCTTTTTTTTTCTTTTTTTACCTGATTTATACATTCGTCTGCTTTGTTACATATGGTATCCTAAAGTTCCCATTTATAACTTTATTTGCTAATGTCAGTGGAAAGAGCCAGTAATAAAAATGTAATGCTCATTCTGGTCAAGATAAACCATGTTTTGTATCATCTAGAATGCTGTTAAGGAAGTGCAAAGATGCTCATCTTTGATGTGAAGTTGGTGTTAAAGGTGGATTTGTTTGCATAATGGTGTTTGCCATGTGATCGTTCATTGCATTCAAGCTAATGAATTTATTTTATTTGTCGTTACTCTGTGACAGACACACTTTACTGTCTTTACACACCTGTGTGTCCTGGTTAGAGGGGGTTTGAGGGAGTCTCTTAATTCACATTCTGAGTGGAAAAGTCTTCAGATTGATGATTGGCACTAGTGATTGTAGACTGTTAGGGTTTTACCTGTTTATCTTCCTCACTATTTCTGTTTTAAACTGAGGCAAAAATTCATAATTTCAACTTTTCAGATTGAGTTGGACTATCATATTATCTCTGTGGAGTAACAAATGTGGGAAGTATTTTTGGATCTCTGAAAATGTAATTGGGATCTACAAACATTTATTCTACAAGACTTGTCTGGGATTATTTGTACTACCTGGAAGCTTAATGAAACTTATGAGCTCTGATTTACAGCCACTGTTTATTGTGGTGTCAATCTTTACCAGTTTGTGTAATATGAAAAGAAAGAAATTTTATCAAATCTAAAATACTGCTCGGGATGATTCTGGCTCTTCATTAAAAAGGTAATATTATGAGTCCATTCAAAAATAAGAAAGGTTGCAAGGTTTATAAAGAGCAGAACCCATGTAACAATTACCATTCTTTAGGAAGAAAACATTCGTATTTAAAAGTATAACTACATTTTTGGTTCCCTGTCTAGAATCGTACTAAGGTTTGTATGTTAAGACTGGATATTAGCAACAATAATTAGGGTCAAATATGTGAAGTTATTATAAAAGATAATCACTTTGAACCCAAAAATAAGCTGTCAGACTTTGGACCTCGGTGAGAATCATCGTATTAAAATTTAGCTGACAAACACAGCTCATGTTTCTATGAAACATTAAAACAGTTTAGGAAATTACTAGGTAGCAATTGAGATATATATGTATTTACATATATATGTATATAAATTTTATCTCGTCTGTTATAAATAAATTATAGTCTAAAATATGTGTTCTCACCTTAAATAACATCCTTACATATTTATTTTCAGTTGAAAATAAATAATAATTTATTTTCAGTTGATTCACTGAAAGGCTGAATCTTTAGATAGTTGATTTGTCTGTCAGTTTCTTTCTCCTTCTCTGACTCACTCTCTTTTTAACAATTGCAGTGATCATTTTAAATTTTATAGTAGAAGTTTGTCATTATTTTAGAAAACTGCAGTTTAAATTATTTCATGCTAAAATTATTTGTTCACAGATGACTCACTTTGTAACATGGTAGTGGACATTTTCCCCCAACCATTCTTGATTATTTGTGTTTAAATATTATCCCCAGGAGGCAATGGTAATTATTGTGGGTTAATAGTGGCCTCATACATAATTTAGTACGAATGAGACACTTACTGTGTATATATTTTTCACATACCTTTAAAATAGGATTGAAATGATTATTTGAGAATGTCTGTATACTAGTACTTTAAAATATTGCAGTGGTATACAGTGTTTGTCTTTTTTCACATAATCAAGTTTCATATTAATAAGAATTTTGAAAAAAGTATAACTTTTAGTCCCATAGATTAGAGTTAATGATGTTTAATATTTTTTTTGAATTGTCAAGTTTTATGTTACTGGAATATCTAAATTCACTTTTTTTCTCTCAAAATTGGTAATATACTACTTATGTCAGTTATGACTATGATTAAATATTCTATTCATTTTGTTAGAAAAGGGATCTGTGGCTGGGTGTGGTGGCTCCTGCCTGTAATCCCAGCACTTTGGGAGGCCAAGACAGGAGGATTGCTTGAGGCTAGGGAAACATAGTGAGTCTCTGTCTTTAAAAAAACAAAAAAAACAAAAAAAAAGAAGAGGAAGCGAAATAAAAAGGGTCAGTAAGTATTTTAATAAAAGACCCTCTGACAGAAAAAGGGAAGACATCTCTCTTTTGGCTGGCACACACAGATGGCCTTGCATTTGGTGACATGAACCTGTCTTTGGACATCTGTATGAATACCTTTTTATCTGACAGTGGCTTCAAGTCTGTAGCTCTAGAATGTATTTATTTTTGTGTCTTACTTTTTCTCAATATGTGTGTTATTTTGAAGGGACCGAAGGGAAATGTGTTTTCCTTGTGGTTTTGGAAATACTTTATGTGAAAATTTATTTTTGTTTTAAGACTTTGAGAGTTCTTATAGGTACCAAATACATGGGGATAAAACACATTTGTTATAATTCTTTGTACAAAATGCCGAATATTAAATAGAAATAATTTTTAAACATAACTTAGCAAATCTGCTCTTTTTTGTTATTTTTGTATATTATGTAAAGAGAAACGTTTGACTTAGGGAATGCCAGAATGTTTAAAGTATTTATAATGTATTGCATTTTAACAGGGTGGAGCCAGTTGGCTGCTATGCACTGCGTTATGCTGCCAGATCTGCTGGGACTGGAGAGATTCAGGCCTCCCCTTCTAGAGATGCTGGCCCGAAGATGGCAAGATCGGTGCTTGGAGGTAATGTCGAGGTGACAGGGACAGAAACAAAAATGTGATAGGGACAGAAACAAAATATGATAGGGCATTGGTCAGATGTAAATTTTTAAAAATGTCAATGTTTATTCAACTTATCACCTATTCATTCTGTGATAGAAAACACAAATTCATGATTTCTGTGATTTTTTTTTCAGTTTATATATTTGCCATTAATGTTTTCAGCTTGTTTATTCATTTTTTTTTTAATACAGTGACTGTTTGATAAAAAGTCTTATATACTTTATGGAATAGTGTTAGCATTTTGATTTCTGTACAGTTCATACATGCAAATGCACGAACAAATACAGAACCCCCCCTCTCCCAAAATCACACTCAGTGTAATCACATCAATCAAATTCTAAGTGAATAGCTATAGTCCAATGTGTTATTGTAAAAGGAGATGGTCTTGGAATTAGAAGAGACCTTGGTTTAAATATCAGTCCCACCAATTATTAACTTTGTGACCCTGGCCAATTTACTTAACCTATTTGAAGCTCATTTGTAAAGTGGGGATAATAATGTATTCCTCGTGGGATTGCTGTCAGGATCAAATAAGATAATGCAAGTAGAACAGTAAGTGCAGAGCCTGGCACATGGTAGGAGCACAGTAAGTGGTAGCCATTATTTTGTGTTAATGGACTTATGCTGTATTAGATATTAATCAAAATATACTATCACCAGGTACTTGGAAATGTTCTTATAGAGACTTTCCTTATTATGACATTTGACCTGTAGAGCAGTAGCAGTTAGTATTATTCAAGATGCTTCATTTTCCAAATATAAATATGCTTAACACACTTTCCCTTTTCTTGGTCTCTAAGTGGTATTGCAGAGTACTAAAATTATCATGGATTTCATTGAATAATATTTTGAATAATCTTCCAAAGTCATTTAAAACAATTTTTTACTCAGATGCTGCTGAATTGTCTTTTCAGTTATAAAGACTTAATAAATTGGTCCATCACTTAATTATTTTCTTTCACCTCATGTCTGTGGCACTTTTGAGAAAATAAAACTAAACTAAAACTGCAGAATAATAGTTGTATGCCACAGTGAAAGAAAAATGAATACAATTTTGAAAAATAATTTCTTCTATGGAACTAAAAGTAATTGTGCCATTACACAGGACTGTGTTTGCCTATTTGTTAAAAATAAATTGTTGAAATACTCTTTGGGTATACATGAATTTTGTGAATTTTTACATATTTGTGTAAATAGTACCTATTTAGCATATGTAACATGAAGAAATTCACTGGATAAGGTAAGATTTCTTCAGACTAAAAGAGAAAACAAATTTATTAGTTTTAACTATGACTTTTACCAATATTACTAAGATAGAAATTTTAAAATTAAAAATGCTACATTAAAGTTTAGAAATGCTTTGGAAAATGAAATTTTAAACCCAAAGCTGATTGAATATTCAAACATAATTCGTCATTAGCGCTAAAATAATTTTCAGTGAGTTTATTAATTAAAATGTGTGATGATTTGCTGGCATCCACTTTATTCTACTTTTAAGTATTTAATTCATTATTTGATTAGTAGTTTTTATCATGTAAATAAATGTGGTTTTTATGTTTCCCTGCCAGATTTCATGAACTTTCTAAGCACTCAGCTAATCAGCTTCTATTTTTGCACTTGGATCTGTGATCTTTTTAGGTTCGAGAAGCTGCACAGGCCCTGCTACTGGCGGAACTGAGAAGAATTGAGCAGGCAGGCCGGAAAGAAGCCATTGATGCCTGGGCTCCTTACTTGCCTCAGTACATGGATCACGTCATATCACGTAAGCACACTCATACTTTTCTACAAAGCTTTGCAGAAAAAAGAACCTGAATTCACAAATATGTATGCTGCGACCTATCAATAAAAGTGAGTCATTAACTTTAAAGTGAAAAGGAAATATTCTCAAATTCTACTTTTTTCTTTTCTGAGTTTCTATAGTCTGAAGTTTGATAAAATAAAGCAAAAGTTATCTAATATCAAAATATTCACTAATGAACTGACCCTCCTATCAAAAATCCTGCTCTATTTAACACTAACATCTGTCTGTGCCCATTGTGTTATTTTGCTGATGGATATCAACTTGTTAGATACTGATCTGATCATGTGTAAGTGCAAATACGAGGCTGGTTCTCTTGCAGGTTGAAGCTGGAATTGTGCATCCTTAAAAAACAAGGATTCGATAGAGTTATATCTGTGTATTACTAAAGAAGATAAAATTAGCAAGGATTTTGACTGATGGATCTCCAAAGGAATATAATTCGAATAGGTTGGGAAAATTGTTGAGTTTATTTGCAAAGTGAAACCTTTGAAATCATGTTGCTAGGTTAAATGTGCGTTGGGAAAAAAGTGTTATTGTGCTGTCATAATTCTTTTCTTCTCAGAAAAAGTATGCTCATTCTCAATTCATCATTTGATTTACTCTTTATTCTTCTAAAAAACATTGAGAATTAAAATTTTAACCTAAATTATATTGATTGCAAGACAAATTCATTTCCTTTTGGAAAATGAAGTCTCAATAAAACTTTAAAAAAAGCTTACTATGAAAATTTGGTGGCCAGGCTCGGTGACTCAAGCCTGTAATCACAACACTTTGGGAAGCCGAGGCGAGAGGATTGCTTGAGTCTGCAGGTTTGAGACCAGCCTGGGCAACATGGTGAGACCAGTCTCTTCAATAAACCAAAAATTAGCTGGGTGTGGTAGCGCACGCCTGTAGTTCTGGCTACTTGGAAGGCTGAAGTGGAAGGATCGCCTGAGTCCACAGGTTGTCTCTGGTGTGGCCGTGAGCATGCCATTGCACTCCAGCCTGGGCGACAGAGTTAGATTCCAACTCAAAGAAAAAAAAGAAAGAAAATTTGTCTTGAGTTTTGGTGGATTCATTTTAAATAACCTATTGCCAGTACCAGTCATTCTTGTATTAGATAGGCAGTACATGACATATAAGAAGGGACATGAAAACAGAATTCAGAAAGGGTTATAATAGTTATAACTGGTCGAACTCTATCAGACCTTTGCCAGTGGCTAATGTTTAATTAGCCATGTGACCTTGGGCGATTTACTTAAACTTTCTTAGCCTCAGTTTTGTCACAGATAAAATGTAGATGATGGTAGGACTTTATAGTGTGATGATGAGTATGGAATGAGTTAATTTTTGTAAATGTATAGAATAGTATGTCGCCCATAGTAGGCACTATGTAGTTGTTAAATAAATACTTTATAATCTATAAAAATGCGAATATATATTTTGCATATAACCAAAATATCACGCTTTAAAAACTCCATTTAAAATTCTTAATTGTTTGAGCAATGGCATATTTACTCAGTGATTATAGGTCTTCATTTACTTACTGGGGGTTTTTGTATTTTAATCATAGAAATTTTGTTTAAAAAACAGGGCCTCTAGTCATACAGACTCTTTGTAAGGCTTTAGGCTTAAAATTCTTTTGAGAGTATATGTAGTTTTTAAAATAAATTTTAGACTATAAAAATGTTAAAATAAGATTGGGATAAAAAAAGCTCTGCTTTTGAGTATTTGGATAAATAGTCTGGGAAATGGTTCTTTGTATTTTGTGGGCATGGACCTCATAATATTCCAGAATATAGGTTTAGATGATCAGCTCATCACAAGCTTATTGAATACAGGATCCCCAGCATGAATCATAAACCGTGATTGAAGTACTGTGGTTGGTGAAGGCAAGACTAGACAATTGCAACTCGCTCGAGATTTTTTGAAAAGGGGAATGCCATTATGGAAGTATTGACAGACATCTTCAAGGCGTCTTTGTTTAGAATGGACTAGTGTAACGCGGGGGATGATGAGATAGGATGAGTAACTAGGAGGCTGTTGTGGAAGGGGATGTGGGGCCCTGACCTAAACGCAGACAAGGCCGAATGCAAAGGTCATTTCTAAGCCTTGATTACTGATTGGACACAAAGGTCTAAGGTAAACACCACAGGTGAGTGTTGTGTTCTCAACAGTTTGCAAAGAGAGTGGCAGTAGCTGTCACTAGCAGTGGTGGTGGCTGTCATCTTATTTCTGGGAAGGAGAGAGTGTGTTAGATACAAGGTAAGGGCATAAATAATATAGCCACAATTTCCTCTCTGAAGCCATGCTAGGACTGTGTATGTTGCTAGGTGAGAGGTCTGTTAGTAAGCCCAGAGAAGATAAAGCATACATGAAATAATATCAGCTGGGTGCAGTGGCTCATGCCTGTAATCCCTGCACTTTGGGAGCCCGAGGCCAGAGGATTTCCTGAGCCCAGGGGTTCGAGGCCAGCCTAGGCAACTTGGCGAGACTGCGTCTCTACAATAAATTAAAAAATTAACCGGGTATGGTGGCACACGCCTGTACATATCTAGCTACTTGTAAAGCTGCAGTGGAAGGATTGCCTGAGCCCAGCAGGTCGAGGCTGCTGTGGCCGTGAGCGTGCAACAGAGTGAGACTCCAATTTAAAAAAAAAAAAAAAAGAAATAATAATATCTACCATTAGTTGTATACTTTCTCTATGTCCAGTCTTTTGCTAAGTACCTGGTGTGTGTTATTTTATTTAACCATTACAATAACCTTGTAAAGTAGGTACTACTCTGATCACTTCCTCCTACCCCCTGCTTTTATTTTTTTCAGATGAGTTAACTGGGGCCAGAAGATATTGAATTTTCTGAACTCCCTCAGTTATGAAGTGACAGTCAGACTCTCCAAAACTAGTTTCTTTAACCACCATTTACTCTATCCTGCTTGCTTCAGCATCCTTAGATCTTAAACGGAGGTGGAGGTGCTTTCAGACAGTGTTTCAGCCACATTTACCCTTAACAACAACAACCAATTGGAGCCAAAAAAAAAAAAAAAAAGATGAAAATTACTCTTCTATAGGTCTCCTCACTGTTTAAGTAAGCACAAAGTAAGTTGTTTCTGGGTCAAGTTTAAACCTTTCTATTTATGTAATTTAGTCCTTTGTATTTAATTATAGTATCCTGGATTACTTTACATATTAAGTAAATGGTGGCTTACTTAAAATTTTAATTTTGTCATTTAGGTATTTATTTATTTATTTTAGTGAAAGACACACATTCTTCATGTAGCTAAAACATCATGCACCAACAACTCTTGATATAGTGTATTAATCTCTTCTGGAACTTTAACTTTGGCCCTGAGTGTAAAATTAGTCTTAGTTTGCTTTACTGGGAGCTTTCCATTTTAATAAAAGGGTGTCAAGCTAAAGGGTTAGGGATTCTGAGCCTATGAAAGGGAAAGAAAGCATACAACAAATGAGGAGTGACCACATAGGGCTGTTGAACAGATCTGCTGTCCGAAGGGATCAAAAGGTTATGGAGCCAGCTGGTAGACAGCCCACACCTGCCATCCACGTGCTTGTACCCAAATCGCCTCGACCATTGTCATTAATGTTTGAGATGATCCTTGTAGCAAGTGACACCATGGGATGCCAGAAGCTTAAAACCTGTTTGTAACATAAGAATCTTAATCGCCCTAGTAGGCAAACTGTGAAATAGTGTCATCTGGTAAATACACTATTCATCAGTTATTTTCTTATAATTTAATCATTCCAAGCATTCAAAAGATGCTATAAGTCCCTAAGCAATAGTGGTAGCTCCTGACTTAGGATTGAGCTTTGTCTAAGTATCCTAAGTATCCCTTTGTTAGCTATTTGTCCAAAACTCAGAAAATGCTCTTACCCAAAGAGCAGAATGTCGTATTGTGTGATTGACTGTGATCATACTTCACCTTAGAAGTCACGGGTAAGAGGTTTAAAGTAAGTAGTAGCATTCTCTGAGTTCACAGTCAGTAAGTGATTGGGTTGGGACTAAGATGACAGGTCAAGTCAACTGATTTCCTTGACCGGGATCTTCTGCATCTTATTTTGGTGCATTGTGCAATAAAAAGCCTTTTGTAGGTTCATGCTTGAGAACCTAAGGAAAGCAATAAGCTAGAGCCAGTTGCTTTTCTCAGGACTCTTTCTTTTCTTTCCTTATCCCTTTCGTGACTGAGGTATCACTTATGTTGCCCAGGTTGGACTCGAGCTCTTGGGCTCAAGTGGTCCTCCTGCCTCTGTCTCCCAAGAAACTGGGACTACATGTAGGAGCTGCCACGTCCAGCTTTCAGGACTCCGAGAGCATTAACTGAAAAACTCTTTGTAAAGCATCCAGCACAGAGTATAATACAAGTAGTGAACGCTGACTGGCTGTCCCTTTCCATGTGTATGCTGGTTTCTGTAGTTTTGTTCTTTTTATTGCCACTGCCTCAGAATGCACTTTAATTTATATTGCCCAGGGATTCTGGAGATTACTGGGGAAGAGAGAAGAGCAATAGTCTACCTTAACTACAAAGCCAGCCCATGGATTTTTATGAGAATCAAGTCCTAATTGAGTAATTTGAGAATTTTGCTTCAGGTAATGGTGCTCGGTCCTTGAACAATTTTAGGAAATGCTATTTTATCCTTTACAAATTTTGTGAGTATATTAACTTTGTGCCTAATTTTTGATAGATAATGTGAGGGTAAGTGTATTGTGATTCCTATTCTAATGGTAATAGGACACAAATAATAAATATTGCATTTTTGTAGATCTTGTCTGAGCACTCACTCTTGAGCATGTACATATCGTCACCTTTATGTTTCAAAAACTCCTTTAAAAATTCGATTGAATATTCCTACTAAATAGGGATTAATATTATTTTGTGAAGAGACTAACGTTACGAGTTGTCTCAGATTTATTTTGAAGTGAAGCTGTTTTGCAGAATCCAATTTTATATATTTCTTATTTGTGACATTCTGCATGTAGCATTTTGATAATTGACTTTTTTATGAGGTCAAGCACCT